CAGTCCCATGCGTGGTCCAGCGTGTAAACTCCGTCGTCCCTGTTCATGGTCCCACATCCACGTCTCCTTATCTCTATTGCTTCCTTGATCCATCTTTTGTATTTTTGTTGTTCAGTGGTTATGATCCGTGTGCTGTCCCAGTCCATTATATGGTTTTCTCTTAAGCAATGATCTGTTACGGCTGACTTTTTTATTGTACTTTCTGCTTCTTCTTTTGCTGCTCTTGTGTGTTTACGATTTGCCTCTTTCTCGCACTCCTTTCTGTGTTCTATTGTCCGTGTATTGAGTTGGCGTCCGGTTTCTCCTATGTATGTTTTATTGCATATTTTGCATGGGATTTTGTAGATGACTCCACATTTTTGTCCAGCTGATATTTTGTCTTTTGGGTGTACTAATCTGTTTCTAACTGTTGTGTATGGCTTTGTTGGTGTGTTTATGTTGTGTTTTTTCATTGTTGCTCTTATTTTTTCCGTTATGCCTCTGATGTATGGTAGGGTTATCACTGGTTTTGGTTCTTGTCTTTCTGGGTTTCTGGTTCTTTTTTTGGGTTGTTCTTTGCTTTCTGTTTTTGTTTGTTGTTTTCCTTTGTTTATTGCCCATGTCGGGTATCTGCAGGTCTTTAAAGCGTGTTGTATGTGTTTGTCCTCTTGTTTACGGTCTCTCTCTTCTGTTATTATGTTTGCTCGGTGATATAATGTTCTGATTACTGACATTTTGTGTATGGTGGGGTGTTCTGAAGCAGCTGTCGGCGAAACCGTAGCTACAAACAGGTAAACAAAACTGTTTCTGTGTTTAAAAAAGAACGAAAGCATGGATTTACAAAGACACAGCAAGAACACACCTAAGATGTTCAAAGAGAAATACGGACAACAAGGAACGAAGGACTTCCGCCGTTTGGAACGATTACACCAGAAACGCGCACGTCTAAGAAACCACCTTCGCTTCTGTTTAAGATGCCGGGACGAAAACATCACACCCACAAGCCTACAGCTGAAAACATCGATCCGGACCCAGACAGCACAAAATATAATAGAAAGAGCACAGAGAGCACTGCTCAAGGAGAGGATAAGGAACGTCATAACCAAACAGAGGCGTGTGGAGGACGAACTGGAAAGAGGACACCTGGACTTGAAAAGGAATTACAAACTTGATAAACAAATGGAGGAACTAATTAAAGGACACATGATGGAAAAACAGGAACAAGAGTTCATAAAAGTGAAAGAAAGACACATAAAGAAGTTAAACAGACTCATAAACAAGAAAAAGAGGGGAGAAATACAAGGCAACTCCACACCAAACTCATGGGTATGTAACATTTCACAATACAAACTAACAGAAGCAGAAGAGAGCATATTAAAGAAAGGTTTAAACTTTGCAGTCACACCAAAAGAAACACCATATGATGAATTTATTGTAGCAACAGAACTAGCATGTCAACAGATCACAGATGAGGGAAAGAAAGCAGAACTCAGAAATAACGTAGCTGGGATATTAAAAAACAGCCAAATTCAACACAGCAATATTACAAAAGAAGAACAATCAGCCATGACAGCTTTATCCAAAAATGAACAGATAATTATTCTACCGGCAGATAAAGGAAGAACCACAGTAGTTATGGACAGAGAAAAATATAAACAACAGATGAAACAGATGCTAGAAGACAAAAATACATATGAAATACTTTAAAAAGATCCAACAGAAAACATTAAGAAAAACATGAAAAAATTACTGAAGCCACTGCACGAAAAAGGCAAAATAACAGAAAAAATGTACAAACACTGGATTCCCACAGCAAACATAACACCAAGAATATATGGAACACCAAAAATACATAAACAAAACACCCCACTTAGACCAATAGTTGACAGCATAGGTACACCAACATACAACATGGCAAAAGATATCAGCAGAATCATCAGCCCGTTATTAGGAAATACAGACCAACACTGCAAAAATAGCATAGAATTGGCAAAAGAACTAAAGGAAATTACAATAGAAGACAACGACATACTCATCTCACATGACGTCACATCTCTGTTCACAAAAACACCAACCCAAAAAACCATAGACATAGTAGTTAACAGAATCAGACAAGACAAAACTTTACATAAAAGGACAAACCTCACAGCAGATGACATAGCACAACTGATAGGACTGGTAGCTAACTCCACTTACTTCACATACGACAACACAATATACAAACAACTGGAAGGCTTCGCCATGGGTAACCCGTTATCAGCCACCCTGTGCGAGTTTTTCATGGAAGACCTGGAACAAAAAGCCATAGCCACCGCCCCCCCAAACTGCAAAATAAAACTATGGAAACGCTACGTAGACGACATACTGGAAATCATACCAAAAGGTCAAACAGAAACACTAACACAACACTTAAACAATATTGACGACACGGGCAACATAAAATTCACTTATGAGTTAGAAACAGAAGGCAGCATAGCATTTATGGACATGAAAATCACCAGGCAGACCGACGGGACCCTAAACATAAACACATACAGGAAACCAACACACACAGACCAATATTTATTATGGACATCAGAACACCCCACCATACACAAAATGTCAGTAATCAGAACATTATATCACCGAGCAAACATAATAACAGAAGAGAGAGACCGTAAACAAGAGGACAAACACATACAACACGCTTTAAAGACCTGCAGATACCCGACATGGGCAATAAACAAAGGAAAACAACAAACAAAAACAGAAAGCAAAGAACAACCCAAAAAAAGAACCAGAAACCCAGAAAGACAAGAACCAAAACCAGTGATAACCCTACCATACATCAGAGGCATAACGGAAAAAATAAGAGCAACAATGAAAAAACACAACATAAACACACCAACAAAGCCATACACAACAGTTAGAAACAGATTATTACACCCAAAAGACAAAATATCAGCTGGACAAAAATGTGGAGTCATCTACGAAATCCCATGCAAACTCTGCAATAAAACATACATAGGAGAAACCGGACGCCAACTCAATACACGGACAATAGAACACAGAAAGGAGTGCGAGAAAGAGGCAAATCGTAAACACACAAGAGCAGCAAAAGAAGAAGCAGAAAGTACAATAAAAAAGTCAGCCGTAACAGATCATTGCTTAAGAGAAAACCATATAATGGACTGGGACAGCACACGGATCATAACCACTGAACAACAAAAATACAAAAGATGGATCAAGGAAGCAATAGAGATAAGGAGACGTGGATGTGGGACCATGAACAGGGACGACGGAGTTTACACGCTGGACCACGCATGGGACTGCATCGTCGGAGAGGGGAGAGCGGGCAGTAGAGGGCGACAACGTCCTCTGCTGCCCGCAGATAAACGGAGAAGGAAGTGACGCGCCACCATCAGCGTCAGCCTGAAGAAGCCGGCAGCTGTCGGCGAAACCATAGCTACAAACAGGTAAACAAAACTGTTTCTGTGTTTAAAAAAGAACGAAAGCATGGATTAATTTCTCTGTTACTGGAGGAGTGAAAAGATGCACAGCAGGCGTTTTATTTGTGGACGGAAATGACAGGAAACGTGGGTTTAGAGGTGACGAACGCATGAAGAGGTGGAGGAGAATGAGAAACAAATTTGTCTGTTAAAAAGTCTCTTATATACAAATAAACACAATATAAACACACTATCTTGGACCGGATACATGACAGGATACCACAGAACAGCGCTACACCCTCTGGTGTCCTGGCGGGGAATTGCTTTGCAACACTCCCCAGGAGACGGAGAAGTATAAGAGCAAAATGTCTCCGTCCGTCCATGCGTGTCTCTCCCTTTCGGAGCTGACGGAGAAGCATGACTAAAGCCTTAGTGTCTACAGGAGTGATTCATCACTAAATTAAACAAAGCTGTGTTCATGATCTAAAACATGCAGGAAACATGCTGGAGCCAGACTGCAGCACCAGGTATGTCAGCTCAATACTAACAGAGGGGCCCCCCAGTCTGAAGTTACAAGTGGAAAATTCTGGCCACAGGGGGCGATAGGGCCTGAGTGGCTTTTCATTAACCCTGTAAAGGGTCATTTTAGCTCAAGAAAACTATTGAACCCTCCCACTGTCCTAATGGGTGTGACCCCGCGAGGAGTGAGGAGTGAGCACCACCTCACCCCTGCCATGTGGACCTCAAGGGATAAACCATCAATCCTGCTCAATGGTCAACTTTCCTCGCGGGGTCACCCATAAAGACAGTGGGAGGGTTAAAAATATGAAAAAGTTGTAAAGTGTCCCTTTAAAAAGGTAAATGTCCTTACCTTACAATATCATTACTGTAATGTCCATTTTGTGTGGAAGTTAAAGGGTTAATTAGCACATTTTTTCACTTAGCATGCATCCTTCCGTAAAACATAACTGCATAAAAGTTTGTTTCCTTCTAAAGGTGGTTTCTGAAGCAAGGATGTTGGTCAATAACAATCACAAAGTCTTCCTGAGGGAGCAGCCGTAGGTCATTTTCTCACACTTTCTAACCACAGGACTTGGACTCCAATGCTTCAAAGGAACAATCATGTTTTCTCTAGGTGTGCAACAATCATTACAACCATATGAGTTCATGTTCAGACTATTAAAGGGTCAGTTGCCCCGCAGCTGTCACGTCCTTGATCCATGTTTTCACAAACCAACCAAATAAGATGAAATCATGAGCAAATTTTTAGTTGTTTATTTAAATTTAAACAAGAAGGTTCTGACCAGTCTGTCTTTTGTCTCTGCTCCACAGAGACTGACAGGATCACACGTTTGTTGTCATGGTAACATGAGGTTCAACATGATGCTGCTCATCCTTTTAGGTTCTGTTTAGGGCTGCCACAAACGGCTATTTCATTAGTCGACCAGTCGCCAGTTTGGTGACGATTAGTCGCGACTAATGGTGTCATTCATAAAAGTATAGCTTATTGCACCAGGATGCTCTAATATACCCATCATTAGCTTCTAGTTCTATGTATGATCAGTTATGTGCCATCTAATTATAAAGACAATAGCTTATCAAACTGCTTTTAATGAATTATGTTGCAACATGTTAATACAAATGCTACAATGTCAAACAGATCAGATGTACGCAACTAAAAACTAAAATACAAAAAAAAAAGAGGCCCATCCATGTTTCTCTTCAAGCAGTCTCATTGCTGCCACCATAGCACTGTCATGAACTACTGCTTTTATTTTAACAGGCAGGACTTCAAACTTAGCTAAAACCTCTTCTATCCAAGTCATTATATTTGTGCCAGTGTGCCTCTCCTCTAGAGGCATGATGGCAAGGTTGAAGCTTTTCATGTTCCAGTCTTCGCTCAGAAAATGGCAGGAAACACCAAGGTACGCCTCTGTAGCACGGCTGGTCCACACGTCAGCAGTCAGGGTCGGGGAACCAGTCACAGCTCTGAGGGCCTGCTTTACCATAAAGATAAAATATATTAAAGTTAGTTCATTTGCCGATATATTGTTAATTCATAAAGCAGGTTAGGATTTAACACGAAGAAAAACATGTTATGCTTTAACTTATATTAGATTCTAAATAGCTCAGTCAGCAAACTTAATTCTATCATAAAATGCATAAAATTCAATTTTTTATTTGTATCCAGATAGACACACACACACACACACACACACACACACACACACACACACACACACACACACACACACACACACACACACACACACACACACACACACACACACACACACACACACACACACACACACACACACACACACACACACACACACACACACACACACACACACACCTTTTCAAAGGTCGTCTCATATTTCCTTTCCATCAGTGTGGTGAAATGTGACCGGCCTGGTAGATAGTTCTCATAGTATTCTTGGTTGAACATCTTGATCATATCTTTAAAACCTTCATCGCCAACCATGGAAAGGGGCCTCATGTCCGTTACCAGCATATTCAAAATGGCCTCAGTCAGGGCGTTGGCTTGTTGCGGTGTGCACTTGGTTGGCCTTGTGAGAAACTTGTCCATTGTAGAAGAGCGCTTTCTTTTAGCACTGTAACATAGCGGGATAAGATAAATCAGTGGTGTTTGTAACATTAGAGCTAACACGTGACATATATATTCATGTTAAACGTATAATCACCATCACTACTGCTGTTGCTACACATATGATGCTAGCAGCTAAAAGGGACACTTACAGAGGTGATTCTTCATTCTCCGCCATCACGTGCTTCCTCTTAAGATGCTCGTGCATCGCCGATGTGCTCCCGTGAAATGAAACTTTCACCTTACAGAGTTTGCAGTCTACTTGCTTCTCAGTTGTTTTCATAAAATGCTCCCAAACCTTCGAGCTCCGCTGTCGATTTGCAATGATGTGTTTTTTCTCCGGTGATTCTGCGCGAACGCTAAGCTGGAGTGGCACTACAGCGCATGTGCCTCCACTTACATAAGCAGCAGGGCAGGAAGCAAACGTGCCGAACGTGCTGCAGCAGGCGAGATTTTAAAAATGCTCATACAACAAACGACGCATCGACTGTTAAATTAGTCGTCGACTATTTTTTTGTTGACGTCGTCGTGACGCGTCGACTAGTCGTGGCAGCCCTAGTTCGGTTCAGTCACCGCTCTTCCTTCATTTGACACTAAACAAGTGTGTCAGGTTCACATTTCAGGGTTGGGCATTCGCGGGTCCAGATGTAGGGAGGAGTCTGACCATGCAGGGCTTTAACAATGATGGTCAGAATGTGAAACACTGGAAACCAGTGAAGACTGAAGCAGACGTGCTCTGGCTCTATTTGTGTGGTCCGGTTAAAAGTTGTGGTCCAGCTCTTTCTTATAAGGCAGGTGAAAAGACTAATACAGTAATCCAGATTAGAGGAAATAAAAGAGGGAATAATTAGCTCAGACAAGTTGAAGCTACAGGAAAACAGTTGTTTAAAAAAAGATGACAGACTTTTGGTTCCAGTCAGGTCTTCTCATCCACCGGTGAAAAAACAAAACTCACATGTCCTTGTCCCAATCTGTTATCCGTTTCAACAGAGCCAGGTGAACCACTTCAGCGTGATTTAACTGTGTCTCCATCTGGTCCACGGCAATCGTAGCCAGGTGAGATCCTGGCTTCACGTTGTGTAGCAGTGATCTGACACAGTAGGAGTAAGAGCATGTTTGAATATTAAAACTTTGTGATGATGAGGAAACTAACTCTATGACACACCCTGTCCTGTCTCCCTGTTTGGTTCAGCTTTGTGTCTCGTTAATTGCTCCCACCTGCCTCTCGTTTCCCAATCACCTTAGCTCCCGGCCCTCGTGTATATAAGCCCCTTCTGTTCTGTGTCTTGCGTCGGTCCATTGTTTCAGTGACCTGCGTGTTTCTCATTAAAAGTTATGATAAACGTCCTACCTGTCTGCCTGTCTTCCTCCCCACGTTTGGATCCTCGCCTCACCTCTGCTCACCTCGCCCACACGCCGTGGCACTCTAGAATATGTGCAGTTATAGTGCTGTAAAAATGTAAATATAAGATTAAATCTTGTAACTTTTTAATCAAACTATTCTATAAATATTTTGACTTTAGTCGTTCATTTTCTCAGGTTCCATTAATACTCAGTAACTTTACCTGCTGGTTAGATACTTCATTAGTTTTATCTGGTTTTTGTCTGATCAATAAAGAAACAGTTAAAGATCTTGAGATACTAACAATCAGACGCTTAAGTTAACCGAGACCAGTGTTGGGAACGTTACTTTAAAAAAAGTAATTAGTTAGTTACTGATTAATTTGTCAAAAAAGTAACTCAGTTACTAACTGAGTTACAACATCATAAAAGTAACTAATTACCAACAAAATTAACTACTTAGTTACTTTTTTCATTAAAGAATGCAAGAATTACTACAATAGTGAAATATAAATGACTAATGACTGGAACATAATAAAATGTATGTCCAAATGTTTTTTATAAACCTGAATAATTTCAATAAATAAGCACTTAACAGGAGGAACTACTAATAGGAACATTACACTTATCTAGACTATTAAAAGGTCACTGTGTGATATTTAACAAGACCCCAATCAGCTAAAATTTAAAATTGCAAATAGAAACACCTGTAAAGGTTTCCAAGCCTTTAAATGGTATCTCGGTCTAGTTAAATTACAGAAATAAATGTAATTTTGCACAGTATTCTAATTTTTCCAGCTTCACATAATTGTGTGTTTTAGCAGCATTTCTGTTGCTGTCTAGTAACGGTTGAATAAATAAATAAATAAATAAATTACTATCCTTTAAAATGACACTAGAAGAGGCACAAATCTGATGGAGGACTTTAATGTACTAACGTGGGTCAGACCCAACCACAGAAGAGCTGAAGCTGGGTGGTGAACACACACAGGTAGTTCTGATAACACCTGAGCTCCATGACGTTTGAGACTGATGCATCAGTGTTACAGCGCGGCTAAAGACATGATCAGAAACAGGTTACAGCTGGATGATCTAGGAAGGTAGAAGATCAGGACGTCTGAGCGGTGAACAGGTGAGCGGACCTTCGGGACGTCCCGCTGTCACGCTAAGAAGGTACGGCTGCAGACCTGCAGATTCGCTGCTGCAGATTCCCACCTGCAGCAGCGAATCTGCGGGGGGTCTGCAGCCGTGGACTATTCATCACGTCTTCCTCGTTCTTCACGGGCCGTGATGCTCGGATGAAAACATCTGCCTCCTTAGCTCCTGATCAGCTGATGACAGCTTCTACACACCGCGCTGCTTAACGCACGCATTTCCTTATCAGTAACAGAAACAAAGTTTTGATAAAAGAAGACGTGGGCCGCTGCTGTAAAAAAAGTGAGGCGCGAACCAGAAAAGCTTCTGCCGATCACAATTCAACAACGGATTATGAAACAATTCAACAACGGATTATGAAAGAACGGATAACGCTCGAAACACGCAGATTCTTCCTGATGTTAGAGGTGAGTCTCCACTTTGTTTTGGTTGTTTTGGCGTTGACATCATCCTAGCGCGCCGACACCTCTCTCTCCCTGGCTGCAGCTGAAGTGTGGCGGTCAGAAAGCCTGTTGCTCAACGTTCGACAAGCACATAGTAACGCACAACCTTCCGTCCCCAGTAACGGTAACGGCGGGAAAAGTAATTAATTAGATTATTCCGTTACCTATAAAAGAACGCCGTTAGAAACGCCGTTATACTTAAACGGCGTTACTCCCAACACTGACCGAGACACCTAATCACTGATCTGAAAGCTTATGCGTGAGGACACACCGTCCTGCTGCTGTACACGGCTGCTGCACTCGCAGCATGACTCAAAACCTTTAAAACATGTTCAGCTCTTTTTTGCTGAATACTCTTAAGCATTGTCTTTTGGCAGCAGGTGCATGCTTTTGTCTCTACGTTAACGAGTGCGGCTATGGTAAAGCTGTGAGGTATCCATATAAAATGGGCTCAGGGTAAAATACAAACATGGGTAGCAACAGGGAGGCATTTCAAAGACGGCCCTTCAGCAGAGTGCTGTCCTTTTTAGAAACATGCCGAGCTGCAGAGAACAGGAGGAAGGAGCTCCGTAACGCAGCCTGAAACAGGTTAGGTTACTTTGGTTTGAACAGACCTTTGGCTTTCCATGGTCAGGGCTCAACTTTCATTTTCAAAACTGGACTTTTCTTACATCATTTAACTTGTTATTCCAAACTGAAAAAGATTTGTTTGCTTCCATGATGTTTTAGCTGCTTCTAATCAAAAGCTAAATGTTTACCACTCCCCCCTGACTGGGACCAGAAGAGCTGTTTCTGGTGAACTGCTTTCTGTCCTCTGGCGTACAAAACCTAAAAAGACATTCAATCTTTTAAAAGTGAAATGTTGGTCCACTTTGGCCTTTTAGATGGATGGTGCTGCTTTAATTTAGAAGAGCTGTGTTTTGGGAAGTTTTAACTTTTACTAGGAAACACACTTAGTGGATGACAAGTGTCCTCCCTGCTCTATTGATCTGAAAGCTTCCCAGCCTTCTTCTGCCTGCATTTACAAGCACCAATGAGCTTTGAATCAAAGTGTCTGCTAAGAGTTTTAAGGTGGTGGGACATTAATGACAGGGAGGTGTAGGAGGGGACATGTGAGGGTGAACTGCTGCATTAGATCAGGGTTAAACCAGAACATTGGTCCAGCTGTTTTACACACAGAAAACAAAAAGCCAAGATGATTAATCAACATCAACATTATTTAAAAAGTTTAACAAAAGGATGCAGAACACTTTTTGCACCCTTTTGTGCTGCCCTGCTCCCTCTACGCACTCCTAAAGTGAATAAAAACCCTCCATTTTCTCAGATCTGGGTTCCAGGAATTATATACTGCAACAAGCCGTTGGACAATGCCCATCATTGTGACATCACAATAGGGAAAATTAGCATAGAACCACATCTCACCTGTGAATACTTATGGAGAACTGTGATCTGGACATGAAGGAGTAGAACATCTTGGGATGGAAGTCTTTGTCTGAGCCAGCCAGAGGAAGAGATAATGATCAGTTACAGTATTAATGAGGCTGTTCCTGTTTTGTTGCTTTTGTCTTCACTTTAGTGAGAAATCTACTAGTCTGACTTAGTATTGTAACGGGAGTGAATGGTAATAAATACATATTGGCAGTCTCTGTAAACTTCAGTGTAATCATAGAGAAAATCATAGTCGTATAAATCAATGGTTCCCAAACGTTTTTTCTTTGAGGACCCTCTTGCCCGTGCCCAAGACAAGCCAGGGCCTCCAACCCCTTCATGCATTCAGCACTCAACTTCTGAAAAAGGGTTTTAACAAAGATGTTTTGAATTTATGATAGTAGTGTGCAACAGAGTGACACATTATACAATCATTAAAGGGATTCTAGGCAACTTTTCATATTTTAAAATCATTTTCTTGATTCAGTATGTGTTAAAATTACCCTTTACAGGGTTAATGACATCTCATTTTGACCCCATCACTTCTGTGGCCAGAACACAGCATTTGCAACTTCAGAGGGTTGCAGGGCCCGGACTGTTGGACTTAGAAAAAAACAAGCTAAAACACCGGTGCTGCAGTCTGCTTCCAGCATGTTTCTTGCATGTTTCAGATCATGAACAAGAATGAAGTTAGCGATGAATCCCTAGAATATCTTTGCACAATATTCTAATTGTCTGAGATTTTGAATATGGGGGTTTCATCAGCTGTAATCATCACAATCATAACAAATAAAGGCTTGAAACATCTGGCTTTGAATGGAATGATTTTATCTCACATATGAGTTTCACCTCTTAAGTTGTATATTTTCAAGTTTGTGTGTGTGTGTGTAAGCGCTCGTGTGTGCGTGCTGTACCTGTCAGCACGATGAAAATTATTCCTCTTTCTCATGACCTTACCTGACTGTGCAGCCAAAGAATAAACTCAGTAGGTACAGGTGGGAGAATTGTGGTTTCCATGGTTACAACTAAATTACAGACAAGCCAATATGCCAGGTGTTTGGCCCAGGTTTGGGGGGGGGGGGGGGGGGGGGGTCTTTACAGGTAGGACTTTATGTTCTTTTTGACTGAGAAAGTTCCCTGCTGAGTTCCGAAGGCTGACTTTAGCTTCAGATCACTGACTGGATTACATGTACACACAGAATACTGCAGTACTTTTACTGTGTACATGTAGCCTTATCTCACTACCTACATTCCATTATCTACTCTCAATAATTAATTGCAATCAATAGTTTCTGATCAGTGCGCCTGCTTCTGAGTACTTAAAGATGTTCTTGTTCTGTTTTGATTGCTTGTACATATCGTACATGAGAACAGTCCATTGTCTTTATGTCTAACTGTTTTATCTCATTTTTTATCTCATTTGTTTGTATCTTTCTGTTGTTCTTTGGTGTAAAGCTGATCAGTTGTCAGTTGCTGCTGCCTCTTGACCAGATCCTTGTAATTGAGAAAGAACTCTCAATTGACTCATTTGGTTAAAGAGCTAGTCACCCCCAAATCAACTTTTTTTCTGATACACTATATAAATGCGTGTCTAATCGAGCTACAGACACATGCAGTCAATTGTTTTGCACTTTAGTGCATTTTAGTTTAAATGTTAATTTTCTGCCAAAAACTGTCAATGTTGTGCTGTTGTCAGGTAAAAACTCAGCACTGCAGTGTAATTTAAATCTGCCATCACTATTGGCTAAGAGGTACCCTAGAATGTTAGCTGGTACGATATGATGTCACAATGTCGTTGTGAGCCTGTGTGTGTGTATTTGTTAGTGGCTCTGCCCTCTCGGTCTGCTGGGCAACAGCATTTGTTGCATTTTTCAAACATGAAGTGGGAGTGGAGTAATACTCTGGTAGGGGGTGACTTGCTCTTTAAATAAAGAAATGAAAGGGTTATATCTTTGTGTTACAGTTAGAGCCGGTCTCAGTCATGTCGAAACATCAGAGCTCTTGACCCATCAGTGCTGCAGTGTTCATTTAGGGTTAGGGTCAGGGTTAGGGTTATGTTTGGTTAGACTCAAACATTAATATCAGCCTTCTTTTTTGAGAGCTGCAGCTCAGGTCTGTGTCCTCAGCAGATGCTGCTCTGTGTTGATTCAGCTTGCTGCTAGAGGGTGAAATAATGCACACGCTTGTGTTTGAGCTCTTCCATGTGAAGTAGCAGAAGCAAACTCCAAGGCTGCGTTGCTTCACAGAGAAGCAGAACCCACCTCTATACTGCACAGGGGTGGGTTCTGCTGGTCCAAATCAAGGCACGCCTTCCACAATGTCAGTTTTCAATCATCTGTGTGTGTGTGTGTGTGTGTGTGTGTGTGTGTGTGTGTGTGTGTGTGTGTGTGTGTGTGTGTGTGTGTGCGTGTGTGCGTGCGTGAGCAAACACTTGCCTACTGAAGGTCATGTCTGGATGTTGTAGCTCATTAGACTTACAAGCACTCACCCCCCACCCTCCACTAGGGTTCAGCCAGTAGATCTGGTCCAGATCAAGACAACAATCATTCAGTGATACGGTGTAGAACCGTTGTTAGAGCTAGCCTTGCTGAGTTTTATGTTTAACCCCCCAAAAATACTCAAAGAAATAAAATATATATATAAATATATGGTGAAAAAGCAGCTTCAATGTACTTTTGACGTGTGAGATGAAATGACGACAGCTTTTTTTAATTCCCAAAAGGAAATCCAACAAATAAAAACAGTGATAAAGATTCTGACAGTCACTGACACAATCATTGTACTGGTATTGTTAGAAAGCAGACATATTTACGTTTCCAGTCAACAGATTTGTCACATCACGAGGAGGTGTGCAGAGGAGCAAATATGAATTCCAATACTATCAGCAGATGTGTCTATTTTCAGCATGAGCTGCTGCCAAGAAGCATATTGTAAGCCAAAGCAAACATATTTACAAAATTATTCATGTTTAGTCTCATTCTGTGACCCTGTATCGGTAATTATGGGTTACTGTTTAGAAAGTCATATGGTTTAAAGAAATACCAGATTTTGCTTCTCAAGATGATAAAAATTGGGCATGAAACATTTTAGCTCACCTTTCCACACCACTTGTTTAAGAAATTACAATATTATGTCTAAATAATATATAAAACAATGATATAAGTGAAACAATGCCGAATGAGGCAGCAACTGACATAAGAGATAGGAATAATGTTGCGAATAAACACCAGGCGACCCCAATGCCAACTACAACAGCTGAGTGAAGTACCATCACAGAAAGAAGGCATCACAGGCCAGCAATGCTAAGTGGCTAGCCTCTCTTAGAAAAGACCACAGCAACCTCCTTGAGCAGAACCCAGTATCCATCACTGTGGATGACCTCAGGTATGAAAAACTGGACAGCACCGGTACCTGACATGATCCTACCCTACTGGCTTAAGAAGCTCACTGCACTTCATCAGCACCTGGCAGTGTCATGTTCTGCGTCATGCGTCTCCTTGTGTTCTCCAGCCCTCTCTAGGTTCCCCTTATGTGTC